CAATGCCTTGAGTTCTAAGAGTACCCAAAGGGGTGACTTTAATTTTAGGCTAAACCTTCAATTTTTTTAATGGGATGCTTGTCAACAATTTTATGTGTTACACACCTAGTCCCTTGCTGCTCTTGGTTAGAATAAAATTTCTCATTTAAACCAGAAGAGGGCTTCCTTGTTCAAGTATGTGAAAAATTACTACCAAGGACGGGAATAAAATGTGCTCAGTTTGCATTATACAGTCCTACACAATTCACACTTTCTCAAATTGATGGAGCAGACGGCCACGTGTGGTTCTAAATCTGGTTTGCGAGCGAGTATATAAAAACATATGGAATCAACAAATGTGTTAAGGAAAAAGCTTGCAAAAATATGTCTGTTACATTAAACGACCTCAAACTTAACTGAAGATGGAAATAAGTTCTGAAAACTTAAGTTATAGCTACAGGAAGTCCTGAACTACAACCGCAATAGGGATCAGAATTTCCCTTGCTAAGCAAGGCAGTTCTTGAGTAATTTACACCTGATGAAAGAAAAGTCTTCATCGTGGTTCAGTCCAAGCTGGGAATAAACATGGCGACTGCTTTAGAAAGAAGGTTGCAGTTTATTGAAAAGGAGAACCAGACAGGAAGATTGCTCTGGAAAAAGAGAGAGAGAGCACATGTAGGGAGTGGGTTTTTATACCCTCTGGAGCCTTTTGTTTGGAGTTGTTTCCTGTTCCTGTTTGAGGCTATTTCCTGTGTCATGTATTCTGAGTCTGGGTGTGCCTTTCTGGTATTCTGATGGTGATGGGTTAATCCTATTATCTCCCAAAGGTCATATCCTGCTTCCCTGGGGCTTGGGCTGATGACTCTTAGAGTTTGGGTGAGGTATGTAGATTTTAGGTGTCTTTGTCTTCTTAATCTTCTAGCTTCAACTTTCCTGGATTTACATCTGCATTTCTACAGAGCTGGCTTCTGCTTGGGGGAGGGAGACCCGGAAACATTAAGAAAACTGGGCGTGTTTTTCTGCCTCTTTAAGATCCTTTGAGGAAATATATTTTCCTGCCCTTTTAATATTTCCTTCTCTGGGGGGCTGACTTCCCACAGATTTTGCTACTTTTTTGCCATAGTTGTTAAGTGAATGAATCACTACAGTTGTTAAGTGAATAATGTGGCCGTTAAGTGAATCTGGCTTTCCCCATTGACTTTGCTTGTCAGAAGCCTGCTAGGACAGTCGCAAATGGCTGATCACGTGACTCAGGGATGTTGCAACAAGCGTTAAATACACCCTTGGTTGCCAAGCGCTTAAATTTTGATCATGTGACCTTAGAAATGCTGTGATAGTCATATAAGTACAAGGGCCGGTCATCAGTGACTTTTTTTTCCAGTGCCGTTGTAACTTTGAATGGTCGTTAAACAAATGATTGTAAGTCAGAGACTACCTCTACATTTTGTTAAAAGCCTATGGTTTTAAAATAAAATTACAGCACATTACTAACTTTGTGCTCTGGAAGAAATGTGGAGAGGCCAAAATTTAATTAATATGCTGCCAACTAGTGGTGGTCTGGATAGTTGCACCCTATTTATTTATTTATTCAATTTTTATGCTGCCGTTCTATATCAACAGCAATAACATTGAAGCTTGTATACTGCCCCATAGCAGTCTGTGGGCGGTTTACAAAGTAAGCATTATTTGCATACTGCCCCCAACAATCTGGGTCCTCATTTTACCTCAGAAGGATGGAAGGCTGAGTCAACCTTGAACCCATCAGGATCAAACTCCAGGCTGTGGGCAGAGTTTGCCTACAATACTGCAGTTTAACCATTGCACCACCAAGGCTCCTTCAACGTATTTCGCTGCTGAAATAACTACCAACTCAAATATGGTAGCCTGTTTAAAGGAAATGAATCCAGACTTCACTCATTGCATCTCACTCCTTGGTCAGATCGGCAAGATTTGAAGTTTTGATCAAAATAACAAAAGTAGTCTATTCCTTCTGTAACATCAGCTTTGCCCCTTTCACACATGGGTGCAATGTTACAACACACAGACCAAAAAGATGGAACTTGTGTTGCTTTGGGTAACTATAGTATTATACATGAGCTGTTAAGGCAGACATGTCAAACACAAGGCCCGGGGCCCAGATGCGGCCTGCGAAGTGGTTTCATGTGGCCCGCGAAGCCATCCTGGAAACAGTGAGGGAACGGCCCCCGCCGCCTGTACAATTTTGTGGTGGGCATCTATGCTGAAACGCATTCAGTCTTAGCCCCACAAGGCCGTCTAGAAACAGCGAGGAACCAGCCCCTGCCGTGTCGTCCCTGCCCCCTGGGTGCATGCTGGGGAGGTGTCACCCTTTGTGAGGAATGAAGAAATGGACCATGCCTTGGCGCTTGCCCCGGTCCCACCCCCTTCTGCCAGAGACCCTCAGATCTGTCCCACTCCTGCCCAGGCCCCCACAGGCACCCTTGATGTGATCGATGTAGAGATGGCCACACCCACCCAGTAGGCCACACCCACTCCATCCACGCCCACCCAGTAGGCCGCACCCACCCTGGCCACACACCCACGCCCCCCCCGAGGGCAACCGCAATGCTGATGCAGCCCTCAATGAAATTGAGTTTGACACCCCTGTGTTAGGGGCATGAACTAATTTTTCACACCATAACGTAGTTTGTGTGGCCAGCTTATTGGATGAGACCAGCCACTGAGATTTATTCTATAAACCAGGATAAGACAAACCATGGTTTAATATGATTTATGCATCCAGAGGATTGAGATCTTTATCTTACCTGGTTGCCTTTGGGTCCCGAAATGCCAGTAGGACCCTAGAAATAAGTAAAGAAGAAACATAAAAAAAAACCCCACCAAGTGTCAAAAATGGTTAACTGGTTACAGGAACACAATATAAATAAGTAGCTTTTAGATTAGGCGAGTCTACATCTGAATTTTTTCTTTTTTATTATTTTTATTAAATTTGTTTGCTGCACATCTTGCCACAAGGCAGCTCAAAACAATAACTTCTAACTAAATGTATTACTTAAATTTAAGACTTTTGCAATAGATCATATTTCTCACCCTGGGTGACTTTAAGCTATGTGGACTTCAACTCCCAGAATTCCCCAGCCTAGTTGACTAGGGAATTCTGGGAATTGAAGCCCACACAGCTTAAAGTCACCCAGGGTGAGAAACACTGTGGTAAATGCGTGACAGAGGAAGAAGCCGTGGGCAGAAAGCTCCACCCATTTCATGTTCTAAAGCAAGGGTCTTCAAACTTGGCCCTTTTATGACTTGTGGACTTCAACTCCCAGAATTCCTTAGCCAGGCACGCTGGCTGAGGAATTCTGGGAGTTGAAGTCTACAAGTCATAAAAGGGCCAAGTTTGAAGACCCCTGTTCTATAGGGACATCAAATGCAATGACTCCATACATCCCAGTGTGGGTGATGCCGCCACTAAGCCCCGCCTTCCACCCAACAGGTATTTTGGAACAACAGGTCTTAAAAAAGGACATTTCTTGTTTTCTCTAACAGAGAAAACAACTTTAATTATTTTTAAGAAGCTTTTTAAGAAGAGCTTGGCTAGCCATTTGTCCTGAATCGTATAGGATCTCCTATTTGAACAGAGAATTGGACTGGAAGACTTTCAAAGACCCTCCCAACCCTGTTATACTGTTATCATTAATTTAATATTTATTTATTTATTTATTTATTTATTTATTTATTTATTTATTTATTAATTAAACTTTTACCCCGCCCTTCTCCTTACGGACTCAGGGCGGCTAACAACCAATAAAATACAAATACACCCCAAGACACCCCTTAAAACTTGGTTAAAAAGAAATATTTAAATTGGCTATAATTAATTAAAAATGTTTAAGAACCCCAC